CACAAAGGTCAGAGCAGTGTGGGGGTGCAGGAGAAGTAATTACATGTGAAGAGTGAGCAAAGGCTGCCAGGACCCTGGAGGGAAATCCTTCATGGGAATCGGCATGGCTTAGGCACACGCCATCTTAACACTGGCCTCACACACCACACCTCATACTTGCCCCTTCCACAAAGAGATATGGAAGAAGCCCTCCCATGACCAAACAGGCTACCGGTGTTGTTCCAGGGGCGTCCTATAGCCACTGTGGTGAGCTAATTTCCAGAAATAAAAAACGTGAAGTGTGTTCAGTTAAGAAGAGAGAAGAGGGCAACAGCAGGAGAGCCTGAGAAGCAGAAAGTAACCCAGGGTGACTGGGACAGCTGAAGTACAGTTAAAACATTTCAGTGAGGCCCTCCCTGGTGGTGCAGCGGGTTAAAGCACAACACTAAGAAGCGAAAGCCACTTCAGCATGAGTTCAGGGGTGACCCACATGCTGCAACAGGCCTCTCCTGACCTGCCCACTGCTCCCCTCAAGCAGTGTACTTCTAAGTCGGCCTGTTCTGCTCCCCACTGTCTCTGGTGAATCCTCTCACCGCCCCTACACCTCTGGTTGGCCTGTACCCAGTTCTGTATGCAAAAATAAATAAATCTTAAAAAAAAAAAAAACATTTAAGTGAGACCAGGTCTCCACTCCTCTACTTCAGCCCAGCGCTGGCCACTCAGTACCTTTCAGAGGAATCTAAACCCAACTGGCATCTTGCTCCAGTGTCAACACTCTCCTCTGTCCCTCTCAGTTTCTTTGCCACTGCTGGACTCTCAATTTCTAAAACTCACCAACTTCTTCCTTGCCTCAGTCATTGAAATGGTAGGATCTCATCTGAAATATTATTCTCCCATTTTTAACCTAGTAGATTCTTGAAAATTTGGTTGTCTCAACCAAATTAAGATTTACTCAAACAGATCTTCAAGATTCCCCCCTTGGGGCCTCCCTAGTGGCCTAGGGGTTAAGTCTCAGTGCTGTCACCTCCACAGCCTGAGTTCAGTCCCCCATCAGGGAGCTAACCCATATATGGCGCAGCAGACCTCTCCTGTCTTGCCTGCTGCTCTCCTCAGCAGTGTATTTCAGTAGATCTGCCTGTTCTGCTCCCTACTCTGTCTCTGGTGAGCCCTCTTACTCCCTGCAGCTCTGGCCTACACTTCTTTTATATAGAAATAAATATCTTTTTTTTTTAAATCCCACCTTTTTATAATATCTCCTACTAGTCCTCAACTACCCTTCACAGCATTTACCTTTGTCATTATCTGTCTAGTGGTGTTAACAACAGACTCTAAGCCCAGGAAGGTAAGGACTGTGTCTAGTTCTGTTTCCGTGTTGTTTTGATTTTGTTTCACATGAGTGGCACATAACTAGATGGTGGAAGTTGAAGGTGGAAATGAAAGAACACTTTTTCAGCCAATGGACAATAAGAAGACAGAACAGTTTAATCAAGGATTGTGTCATGAAGAAAGTGGAACTAAAATAGAACAAACTAAAACCTAATCTAGTGTGAGTGATGGACAAGATCAAGGCCAAGGTTGAAAGACCAGCTGAATATTTCAACCACCTATAAGCAATACCGAGAGCCCCAACCCAGATGAAGCCAGGCTGAGACTTTACAGGGGGTGTGGCTGAATCTGTTCACTTGATGAGTGTGTGTGGGTGTTAGTGTTCTTGGTGCATTCTGTGGACTACTATCCATTCTGGATAAAATGAAATTTCAAAAAAGGAAATCTAGATAGACGAGCACTATACTACTTACAAGAGAAAAATTTCAAAAAATATAAATACTGATCATGCTGCCTGACCGGTAGCAGCAAAGGGGATGGAGGAATGAAGAAGCATTTCCCAAGGACGTGGCCTCTTCCAGGAGACGCCAGAGGGACAAAGATGAAGGAAAATTGCTGGGAAAGGCTAACACTACAAAGAAGTTTTCTGACAATGGGATGGGATTTCGGAAGATTAAGGGGAACCGATTGAGTTTTGCTGAGAAAAGATAAACCAAGCAAAGGTCAAGAGATGAAAAAATGGGGCAGGGAAGGTTAGCATGCCCTTCTCTAAGTAAAAACGAGTCAAATAAAAATGTACACGTTGGAAGTAGTTGTGAGCCCCAGGTTTGAGACAGGCAAAGAGCTGAATGTAGCAAGAGCCAGGCTCTGAGCATGTCATCAGCATCCTCCCGGAGTGCAGGAGGAGTGGCCTCTGGGGATGGCCCTTCCCAGTTGGGGCTGCTCTGACCACTGCAGTTTCTACTCTTGAGTAGTGCTTCCCTCAATAAGGCTTAAACAGTGAAAAAACCATGATGATTCCAATAACTGTGGTCTTTGATGTTAAAAATAACATCCTTTTCTTAAAAATGGAAACTTCTCTCCCTATTCTCCCTAATTTCCTGCAGTTGAGTGAAATCAAAAGGTTACTTTACATATAAAGTTCATCTTATCAAGAGCATCTGGGTGTCTCCACAGTATGTCTATTTTTATTTCATATTTTGCAGTAGTAAAAAGTGAACGAAGAGTTGATGACACCAGGGAGCCGCCATTTTTCACACCTCCAACGAGTGCTCTTGTTTCCTCTTGCATATGTCATGATCAAGAGCCAAACTCCCAACTTCTGTTTTCCTGGAGTCACTTAAAATCATGTTTCCTATGCTGTCGGGTTGTGACAGATCACCCCTAACGTCTATTTAAATGCTAACAATTTGGCAGTGGGACATGGTCTCCTCAAGGAAAAACCAGATGGAGAATTGTTTGAAAAGGCTGATACCGTGAATTTTTCTGACAATGGAATGGGGATTTCTCTCCACAGCCCACCAGTTTGGGAATGGGACAATGAGGATAGTACAATGTTCTGAGGAAAGGACAATGGGCTTAAATTTTCTGTCACTAAAGTTAGCACAGTTGGAATATAACGTAGTTAGTTCTTTACAGCCAGTGTCTTTATTCTAAAGAAGTAGTTCTTGAAGGGCAGTGAGGACATTTGGAATTCATGACCTCCTAGGAGGCAACCTTTCTGGGGGAGGAAGAGAAATTGGTGCCTGAGTTTGGGGAGAGTAGGAGGAGAAATTTATTAAAATAACCTGGTGTCCCTATTTGTTTCCAACTGCAAATTCAAGCTCATTCATAATCTGAAACCAGATCACTGGGTTCAGACAGTGGTGGGTTTAATACTAATCTATTGACTGCTGATACTTATTCCCTCTTACCAGACTCCTAAAAAAGAAGAGAAATAAAGAAAAGAAAAAGAAAATAAATATATGCACGTATACATATATGCATACATACACACAAACATATATATATATATATATACACACACACATAAACACACACACACACACACACTCCTATTTCTTAACTTTTTATTTCAGCCTATGTTGCTTTCTTCAGGGTGTACTTCATTTTTTGCCTTACTTCTAATCTATATTCAACGTTTTTCTCTTCCTCAGCAGTTCTGCTATTGCAGGCTCATTTTTCCAGCCATTCCTGCTTCCTTCTCAATTTCCCAAATTCTTTCTCCCCAGATTCTTTTTCCAGTGACAGCAAACTTCTTGAAAGAGTAGTCCGTACCTAAGAATGCCTTCACATCCTCATCTCAGGTGAACAGAAAATGGTTTCTAACCCCATATACTCTGAGACTGTTTTCACAAGAATCAGAACAGACTTGTAATGACCAAAACCCATCATTACTTCTTAGTAGTTTTCTTTGATTAGCCCTTCCATCCCCATTCCAAGATAGTCTTTTTGACTTTCTTCTCATAGTTTAGCCACTCTTTCTTCATCTTCTCCCAGTAACTTAAATGGGAAGGGCCTCAAGAGCCTGCCATTTTTCTTCATGGCCTACATCTTCCCAGTATGCATTCTTCTTATTGCTCATACCCTTGTTAATTTTTGGCCAATATATGATTTCTCCTGTCAGGTGTAGTCACCACAGTCCTCTCACCACCAAAGCACCAGTTATCCATCACCATATTCTCTTGTGCTTCCACTCCCCCTGTCCCCCCCATTTTTACTCTTCCTTACCCTCTACCTCTCCCACTCCTCTCCTGGACACCTCACATCTTCGGCCAGCTTTCAAGCTTTGTCTTTCTCTGACCCTTTGTTTGGCTTCTCTACAGTCCACATATAAGTGAAACCATCTGATAATTATCCTTTTCTGGAAGCCCTTGCTAGAAATCTACTAATATTACCTTAATAGTGTTGAGAAACAAAGTGGATCTGAATTACAAGTGGCAGAATGAAGGCAGAGAAGAGTCATTACAGAGGTAAAAAGAACATGACAATGAAAATAAGTTACAGAGTCCAAAAGGAAATATCACTCTGAGTCAAAAGTTGCAGAGTATAAGAAATCAATCAGGTTTCTGTCCTCAGCAACCACTGGATGATGGTGCTAGTCACCAAGAGACAGAATAGGGAAAAAGACCTGAGGCAATTGTGGAACATCCAAGAACAGATGTTCAGTAGGGAGTAGTGAAGACTCAACAAAATTTGATGACTAAATTACTAAGAGTAATCTGGTGTTCTGCGATGTACCAGTCTCAGGAGCTCTTGTTCAAGTGCATAACTTGTGCCCTCTCTCCAGTATGGTTTTAAGTGCTGTGAATTCATTTCCTTTACACTTCCCAAAACAGAAAGGTAGGGATCTGATGCAGTCTAAATACTGACAGATCTGTACATTGTTTAGTTTATTGTTTTGTCTGTAATTCTCCAGGGCACCACTAGTTCCCATCTGAAGGCACTTTTTGATGTATCCAGAAGGGAAGCTCTATGCCATAAGTTTTGTCTTTTTTTTTTTTTTGGTTGTCAGCTTGCTTACATACCTCCCACCCAATGGCATAAAAGGGAGCTTCCCTAATCACATGCTAAAAGAGTGGAGATTATTTCTGTGCTTTGTATTTTGTCAAGCGAGCACAATCTATGATTTATTAGTGTAATAAACTACCCAGGCTACAAACAATTTTAATACGCACATGTAAATATTGGCTTACCTTTGATATTGATTAAAATAGCAAGTAAACGGCTGGGACCCAATCTCATCTTTCCAGTATTGCTGCCAATTCATGACACTTTCCAAGTTCTTCTGATTTTCTCTTTTACAGGGAGGGATATAGGAACACTAACAGAACAAAACACAGAAAGTAAACCTATTATTCTATAGGATACTCAAATTTAGTCCACTTTTATAGCGATGGCATTATTCAGATAGTAAATTCAATTTTGACCTACTTAATTTTTAATATAACAAAACTGAAATCACTCAACTATACATCAAATTTCTAATTTGGCATAATTACAAGAAACTATCCCAATAACAAAATTACAGGAAAAAAAATATCCTCAGTCATTACAGTATAAGGACATAGTGTAAACAGTTAGGATTTTAGGGCATAATCTATTGTCTGTTTTTGAGTATGAAATCAGCAGAGGTAAGAGTTAATTTTTACCCCAATTTCTGTCTATTAATATGTGCCTTGATATTTTCCTCTCCCACCTCTAATAAATCAAGCTCACAGCTCTTCCCAGATGCTGCTGCTCAACTGTTGAAGCTCCACTTTTTTCCTGATCTGTTCTCCTGGACAACAGAATCAATAGCAAAGCTCCTCTCCAAGTACTAATCAATGCAGCGCATCTCTCTAACCAATGGCTTTGCCTATACATGCCTCTTACACAGCAGTTCTCTCCAGTGGAGCTTGATTACTCTAAGCAATGCAGATCGGCAGAATTAGAAAATTGCTCTTAACTCTTTATGTACAAGGAGGTCTCGGTCTAATCCATTTTGCCCAGTATGGTCTGTGATAATGGCACTGACCATGAAGACACCACCACCTTGCAGTTATTGCTTTTTAATGCTTAACAAGCCTTTAAGCACAGACTTCTTACAACAGCCCTGTAAATGATCACCATTTTATAGATGAGGAAATCGACAGGTCAGTGCTCCAGCTGCAATTAGATTCTGGTGATTTTATCACATTCTATTCCCAGGCATATGAACATGGTGTGTGATATTAAGAACCAGAAAAATCCACATGTTTTATAGGATAATTTGAATTGAATTATTTTAGAGCATAGAATGTGAACACCTTCCCTTTTCTGGTAAGATACAAACTTTTCAGCACGACGTACAAAGCTCTCTGGGACCTGGTGCCCACCTGCCTCACTCTCACTTAAGTCCAGGTTGCAGACACATAGAAACACCTGCTTCCAAGTCTGCCACCCGCTGTCACGCCTACCTGTCTGATACCTGCTGTTCCCTCATTTTGATGCCCCTTTTCCTGAGCTCCCCTCCTTGATGTTGCGGTTCAGGTGTTACTTCTTTTTCTGACTGCACTGCACCCCTCACTGGTGCTGCCACAGGTGTCACGCCCCATGTGATCACACTGGGAATCTCTGTCACTGCCCTCGGTTTTACGTCCACCTCCCCAAATTGCCGGCAACATGGGAACACGGCTCTCCTATTTCTGCACCTTCACACTTAGAACTAGGCCTGGTAACTGTGAAGCTTTGAAAATGCTTGTAGAACTAATTAATAACACAGAGATACATTTTTATTCAAGATGATGAATCTATTTCACAGTGGTTAAACATTTAAAAATAAACAACATAAACACATTTCAAATTTTAATAATTTGGTTATGTTTGGTTATATTTATATAACAAATGCGCAACATGTTGTGTAAACATAAATATTATTTTAGTTATTGAAACACAACCTAACCTCTGCACATATTGTTCCACTTCTATTAATAACCATAATATAAAGTTAAGAGTTTCTGTGAAATGTTGATTTCTGAGTTTCTTCTAAAACAGCAGTTGGTGTGTGAATATGACGGACAGTGTCAGCGAGGGCTCTGGCCGATTACTTGCTTGGTGCTTGATCCTGAATAAATTATTTCCCTTTTCTGGAATGGAATCCTTATTCTCCAAAATAATTTCTACCTCTACACTTCAGTGATTTTATTCTTTGAGGCATATTGAGAATGGGCCCAGTAGAAGACAGGACTACAGCTCTGTTGCTGTACTTCTCCCAGGTGAGAGCCTCCACTGGAGAGGGGCTGGGAAGCCTGACTCAGTTAACTGTTTCAACCAGCAAAGCACAGCGAGGAAGGTCCATTCTTGGGGGTGTCTGTATTTCACATTAGGAAATAAGGAGACCTTAATATTGTGATTTTTTTAATGTCTTATACTATGCTGAATATTCCCTTCTTTCTAGTAAAACTTTTTTTTAATGTCATGGTCAATTAATTCATAAAGTGAGAGTATAAATAGTTGCCAACTGTTTGCACTCTTTGTAGGAAGGAGAAATTTCTAGATTTAGAGGTAGAGCCAGAAGGTGTGTAACCCTAAAAATTTATCAGAGGCCCTTTTGTAATGAGTATACCCCATACAGAGGTAGAAAGTATAACGGGATAGGGGCGTTCACAAAGCGGAGAGAGCACAGTAGATGTCAGCGGTGGGTGCGTTGCGGTAACCACACCTGAAAGATGTAGATTCCTCAGCTTCCAAACTGCTCCTATACTTCCAAAATATAAACAACAATATGAGCCAACTTACCTCAATGCAAATTTTAAGAAAACAAAAAAAGAGGGGACCTCCCTGGTGGCAGAGTGGGTTAAAGTATCAGCATCATGAAGGTATGCCAATGCCAGTCACTGTAGTATGAGTTCCATCTCCCACCAGGGAGCTGACCCAGCAGACCTCTCCTGACCTGCCTGCTGCTCCCCTCAGTGTATTTCAGTTGATCTGCTTGTTCTGCTCCCCGCTCTGTCTCTGGGGAATCCTCTCCCCCCACCCCCACCCCACTACCTGCCCAGCACCCCTGGCCTACACGCCAGCTCTTGTATACATAAATAAATAAATCTTAAAAAAAAAAAAAATGTACGGGCCTCCCTGGTGGCGCAGCAGGTTAAAGCACAGCACTAAAAAGCTAAAGCCACTTCCGCATGAGTTCGATCCCCAACCTGGAGGTGACGCACAATGCGCAGCAGACCTCTCCTGACCCGCCCACTGCTCCTCTCAGAGTATACTTCATCAATCGGCCTGTTCTGCTCCCCACTCTGTCTCTGGTGAATCCTCTCACCACCCCTGTACACTGGCCTGTACCCCAGTTCTGTATGCATAAATAAATCTTTCTTAAAAATGTACATCATCATCATCACAAGTTCTGTTATATCCTCAGAGAACTTCAAGGGAAGTATTTGTTCCCTCTGGTCTCAATTTGGCTCTACGGTTGATGTTTGGTGCCACAGATGTAATTTCCCCTAGGTGATACGACACAATCTCTTTGAACATGGAGGAGCATTCTCTTGGAGAAAAGTTTTTATACAGTTCTGACCTTTTTGTTTTTCATTTGCAAAGGCAGCATTTTCTAATTCTTAATATTATCGCCTGAATAACCTTCACTAGTGTTTGTGTCATATGCTGCCTAAACTTGCATGAAATCACCTTTTTTCAGGAGAAAAAGAGGCATGTGATTATATCCATTTGTTTAATACCTATCTTTTGGGGAATAAAACTTGAATTTTGCATTCATGAACAAAGTTGTTAGAACTGCATTGGCTACTGCGAATATATTGACGTAAAGACTTCCCATGTGTCTATTAAGGGAAGATACCGTCATTACTTGACATGGACTATTTGATCATGTACTTATTATTACTTCTTTGTCCGTTATCTTATTTTAGAGTTTATCAAGATTGATAATAGCATCTTTTTCAGCCTACCACAATGGATTAGTATTTTAATAGAACACTTTTTGAATGGGTTCTTTGTGATAATTGTCTTAAGGATTGCATTTCAATCATGTAGGAAGAGTGGGCAGAATTCACTTTCTTCCTCAACTGAGTCATTTAAAAAAAATTGCACAAAACACGTGTTCTATGTAACTAAACATTGGGGGACCAGGTTCTGTGTTAGGCATTCTCTAAGAACTATTAAAGGAGAAATGGATTTTTCTCTCCAGTTTCTTTTCTGACTCCACTTAGTTAAGGAAAGTAGTATTAAAAAACACAGTACTAGAATGGTTTTAGCTGATTAAGTAGTTTCTAAAGTACATCTGGTTAGAAAATAAATTCGTAAGACATTTCATACTAGAATCCAACCTAGTCAAATTGTATAGCCTTATCCTCTATTTCTGAAATTCTGTAAGACATCTCTGGTTCAGCTATGACTTGTAATTTTAAGGACATTTTGGACAATTGGATGTACAACTAGAAAAGCACTGTGGGATAAAAGTTTAGCTGGGTCATTTATCTCCATAATGTTTCACATGCCTGGAGTGTGCGTTAATTGCACATACACATGCTTTTTTTATGAATAAGCCAAAGCAAACACAGGCAACTGTATGTCAACTGAAAATTTGAATTCTACAGCAGGTAGTTTTAGAATGTATGCCATTTCTGACTGCTAAATGAAAATAATCTTACAAAAGAATTTGAAGGTGAAAAAAATGGCTTAGACAATGTGAAAAGCAAAACTATCTAAGAACAGAAGGTAATATGAACTCTTTGCATAGAGCAGGGAGGGCAGATAAAGAGAAGTGTCCACCCTAGAGCATTGCTAAGCAAATTACGTTTCAGACAATTCGGACTGTTTCTCACAAAGATCCACCCTCTTGAGAGTCTGATTCAGTAAGACTAAGAATCAACTTTTTAAAAAAATATCTATTTATTCGTTCATTCATTCATTCCTTTATTTATGCATACTGAGCTGGGGTACAAGCCAGCAGTGCATGGGCCATGAGAGGCTTCATCAGAGACAGAATGAGGAGCAGGACAGGCAGATCCGACGAAGTACACTGCTGAGGGGAGCAGCAGGAGGGTCAGGAGAGGTCTGCCGCACCATGTGGGTCACCTCTGGGGCTGGGGATCATTCAGTTTCAGAATTACAAAAATAAAAATACAGGAGTTGAAGCTATATACAAATCATAATTTTAAACTATCCATAATTTTAAACTAACACTTTCAAGAATGAAAGTACATGTTAAAATGCGTTCAATGGTTTATAAAGGCCATTTTAAATTCTTGAGGTGGACAATCTTCTTATAACAAAATAGAACACTAAAATGAAATAAAGCCTTAAATGCTCTGCATGCACTCATATATGCCACATTGATGGCAT